ATAGTGTATTATCTTTTTGATGTGTTGTTTGATTCAGTTTGCTAGTATTTTGTTGAGGATTTTTGTATCTAGATTCATCAGGAATATTGGCCGGTAGTTTTCCTTTTTCATCATGTCCTTGTCTGGTTTTGGTAACAGTGTTAAGCTGACCTCATAGAATGAGTAAGGAATAATTTCCTCCTTAATATTCTGGAATAGCTTGAGAATAATTAATATTAATTTGTCTTTAATAGTTTGGTAGAGACTGGGAGCAGTGGCTCATGCCTGTAATCCCAGCACTTTGGGAGGCCAAGGCAGGCAGATTACCTGAGGTCAAAAGTTCAAGACCAGCCTGGCCAACATAGTGAAACCCAATCTCTACTAAAAGTACAAAAAAAATTAGCCAGGTGTGGTAGCAGGTGCCTGTAATCCCAGCTACTTAGGATACTGAGGCAGAAGAATTGCTTGAACTCAGGAGTCAGAGGTTGCCATGAGCTGAGATGGCACCACTGTACTCCAGCCTGACTCCATCTTAAAAAAAAATAGTTGGTAGAATTTAGCAGTGAGGCCATCCAGTAGTGGAATTTTTGTTGTTGTTTGTTTGTTTGTTTTTGGGAGAGCTTTTATTACTGATCAATCTTGTTACTTATAAGTCTGCTCAGGTTTTCTATTTCTTCTTGGCTCAATCTTGATAGATTATATATGAATTTATTCATTCCCTCTAGGTTTTTTAATTTATTGATGTGTAGCTATTCATAATAGTCTCTAATAATCCTGTGTATTTCTATGGTATCCATTGTAATGTATTCTTTCTCACTTCTGTTTTTATTTATTTGGATCTTTTCTGTTGTTAGTTTGTCTAACTAATAGTTGTTTGGTTTTGTTTTTCTTTACCAAAAAAACTTTTGGTTGTGTTGATCTTTGGTATTGTTTTTTATTATCGATTTCATTTATTTTTGCTGTGATTTTTATTATTTATTTCCCTCTACTAATTTTGGGTTCATTTGTTCTTGCTTTTTCTAGTTCCCTGAGATGCATTGTTGGGTTATTTATTTGAAATCTTTCTTTTTTTATGTAGGCATTTATTATTATAAACTTGCCTCTTAATACTGCTTTTCCTGGACCCCTAGGTTTTGTTATGTTGTGTTTCCATTATCATTTGTTTTGAGGAATTCTTAAATTTCATTCTTAATTTCTTCCTTCATCCATTTGTTATTCAGGAGCATACTGTCTAATGTCCATGAATGTTACAGTTTTGAATGTTGCTCTTGTTATTGATTTCTAGTCATATTCTATTGTATTCAGATAAGATACTTGATATGATTTTGATTTTTAAAAATTTGTTGAGACTTGTTTGTGTTCTAACATATAATCAGTCGTGCAGAATGTTCCATGTGCTAATGAAAAGAATGTGTATTCTGTGGCTGTTGAGTGAAATGTTCGTTAAGTGTCTGTTAGGTCCACTTGGTCTATGGTGCATTTTAAATCTGATGCTTGCTGATTTTCTGTCTAGATGAACTATTTAATGCTGAGAGTGGGGTGTTGAAATCCCCAACTATTATTGTATTGGGGTCCATCTCTTCCTTTAGATATAATATTTGATTTATATATCTGGGTGCTCCAGTGTTGGGTACATATATATTTACAATAGTTATATTCTCTTGCTGAATTGATTACTTTATTATTATATAATGTCCTTTGTCTCTTTTTACAGTTTGACTAGAAATCTGTTTTATCTGATAGAAATATAGCTACTCCTGCTTGTGTTTGGTTTCTGTTTGCATGGAATATCTTTTTCTATCCCTTCACTGTCACTCTATGTCTGTCTTTACAAGTGTGTTGAATTTCTTGTAGGCAGCATATAGTTGGGTCTTGTTTTTCATCCATTCAGCCAGTCTATATCTTTTCTTAAAAATAGAGACAAGGTCTCACTATGTTGCCCAGGCTGATCTGGAACTCCCAGGCTCAAGAGATCCTCCTGCCTTGGCTTCCCAAAGTGCTGGGATTATAGGGGTTAAACACTGCACCTGGCCAAATGTCTTCTTTTGAAAAGTGTCTGTTCATATCCTTTGCCCACTTTTTTATGGGGTTGACAAAAATCTCTTAGAACTGATAAATGAATTCAGCAAAGTTGCAGGATACAAAAATCAGTAATGTTTCTATATACAAACAGCAAACTAGGTGAAAAAGAAATTAAAAAGGCAATCCCATTTAGAATAGTTACAATAAATAAAATCAAATACCTGGAAATAAATTTGAACCAAGGAGATGAAAGAACTCTACAAGGAAAGCTGCAAAACACTGATAGAAGAAACTGAAAAGGGTACAAACAAATGGAAAGACACCCCATGTTCATGAATCAAAAAAACCAATATTGTTAAGATGACCATACTACCCAAAGAAATCTACAGATTTGTTGCAATCTCTGAAAAAATGCCAATGATATTCTTCACAGAAATAGGAAAAATTCCTAAAATTCAAATGGAACCACAAAATATCTCAGAAATCCAAAGCTATTCTTTCTGAGCAAAAAGAACCAAAGGATCCAAAGTTCTTTCTGAGCAAAAAGAACAAAGTTGGAGGCATCACACTACCAGACTTCAAAACACATTATAAAGCTATAGTAACCAAAACAGCATGGTATGGGAACAAAAACAGACACATAGACCAATGGAATAGAATAGAGAACCCAGAAATTAATTCATGTATCAATGGCCAACTCATTTTTGCCAAATGCACTGAGAACATACAATGAATAAAAGTCAGTCTTCAATAAATGGTGCTGGGAAAGTTGAATATCCATATACAGAAGAATGAAAGTAGACCCCCACCTCTCACCCTATACAAGAATCAACTCAAAATTAATTAAAGAGCTAAATGTAAGACCTGAAACTAAAACTACTGGAAGAAAACAAGGGAAATGCTTCAGGACATTGGTCTTGGAAAAGAATTTATAAATAAGACCTCAAAAGCACAGGCAACAAAAGCAAAAATAAACAAATGGAATTATATCATACTCAAAAGGATGGTAAATTTCCTTCTGTATAGCAAAGGAAACAATAGAATGAAAAGACAAACTACAGAATAGGAGAAAATATTTGCAAATGATTCATCCAATAGAGGATTCATATCCAGAACTCAAACTTAACAGCAAAAACAAAAAATAAAGAACAAAAAACAAACAAAACATGATTAAAAAATGGGCAAATGATATGAACAGATATTTCTCAAAAGAAGACATACAAATGGCCAAAAAAAAAAATGAATAAATGCTCAATACTAATTGTTAGGGAAATGCAAATCAGAACCACAATGAGTTATCATCTCTCCCCAGTCAGGATGGCTATCATCAAATAGACAAAAAATAGCAAATGATGGTAAAGATGTGGAGAAAGGGAACTCTTATACACTGTTGGTGGGAATGTAATCTAGTACAGCCATTATCGCAAATAGTGTGGAGGGTCCTCAAAAAACTACACATGAGTCTGGGCAACACAGTGAGACCCCACCTCAATAAAAAAAATTAGCTGGGTGTGGTGGTGCAGTCTTGTAGTCTCAGCTACTTAGGAGGCTAAGGTGGGAGGATCACTTGAGCCTTGGAGGTTGGGGCTTCAGTGAACCATGATCGCACCACTGCACTCCAGCCTGGGTGACAGAGGAAGACCCTGTCTCAAAACAAAACAAAACAAAACAAAACAAAAATGATGATGATGATGATGATGATGATGATGATGATGATACAAATAAAATGATCATAAGATCCAGCAATCCCACTTCTGGGCATTTATCCAAAGAAAAGGAAATCAGTATATCGAGGAAACATCTGTACCTTCATGTTTATAACAGCTCTTTTCACAATAGCCAAGATACAGAATCTACCTAAGTGTCCACCAATTAATGAATGACTAAAGAAAAGATGGTACATAAAATTCATAGAATATGATTCAGCCATAAAAGAGAATGAAATCCTGTCACTTTGGCAACATGATTATGTTAAGTGTAGTAAGCCAGGAACAGAAAGTTAAACACCACATCCTCTCACTCTTTATAAAAGTTAAAAACAAGTGGATCTCACGGGAGTAAAAAGTGGAACAGAAGATACTAGAGGCTGAGAAAGGCAGGGGAAAGGGAGAGAAGGATAGTGAGGGATTTTTTTAAGGGATACAAAATTACAGCTAGAGAGGAGGAATAAGTTCTACTATCCTACAGCATTGTAGGATGACTATACATAACGATAATATATTATATAGTGTCAAAGGGCTAGAAGGAGGATATTGAATGCTCCTAACACAAAAATGATAAATGTTTGAGATGAATATGCTAATTATGGTAATCTGCTCTTACATGTATTGAAACATCACTATACCCCATAAACACATGTACAATTATCATGCCAATTTAAAACATTTAATTGAATTTAATTTGAAAAGAAAATAAACAGACGAGCCACAGACTTGGAGGAAATATATATATACATGCCAAAAATAACATATTCTGTAAGGAAAGTCCTACATCTGACAGTGAAATTAGAGCAGAAAAAGAGTAATGGAGAGAAACAGAAGCTTGGATGCTGTAAGAGCAGATTGTAGATTACATACCTAACTGTAGATTACAGATACTGGATATAGATGAAAGGGTTTTTAAAATACAGATCATAAAGCTAGTTCTGATATAAGACAGATGACTTCAGCTACATAGATAAATTACTTCCAATCTGTCAATTAAAATGAACAAGATAATGACATAGAAAATACCTTTATTGAAATGTTAATTCATAACTACCTGTGGCATCATTACAAATATATAAATTCTGTGGGTTAATTCATAACTACCTGTGGCATCATTACAAATAAATAATAACTGGATAAGAACAGAGAATACTGCAAGCAAACTGATATTGTAGGCTAATAGAACCATTGATAAATATTTTCTTGTTTTCTTTTCAAATATTAAATTTCTGGGGAGGGGGTAGCCACGAAGATATCAAACTTCAGCAAATAACAAAGACAAAAAGTACTTACTTGCTCTATGTTTAAATTGGGAACCATCAGAACAGTGGGTTTCCCTTTTAATCCTGCGTGAATAAACACCTTTTTAAAAACTTCTTTGAATTCGATGTAGGCACATTTGTGAGATATAGGCACTCGGTATAGTTTGTTATCTGTCAGATAACAGGCCAAGGTTGCACATGTTTTTTTCCCACATCCATCTATTCCAATCTTTGGGAGAAAAGAAATCCAACATATGACATATATTTTCTGGGAACCTTTCAATGTATAGTTTTCTGTTTATTATTTGTGCTAGAAATTTTGACCGTAAAAATACCCCAGAATATTTTTATTTATAACCTTTTGGAAGGCATATTAAATGTAATTTAAATATTTTATCAAAATTTTTATAACGCACTCATCCACATTCAATATTTTCATCTTTCCATAGCCTCTTGAATATATGAGAAAATTTCACTGGAAAGAGAACATGATCTTGAAAAATAGCACAGACAGGCTTATAAACCATCTTTATATCACTGTCAATATTTGATTCTTCATTTATAAGTAACTAGATAGATCTTTTCCTTTTTATTTTGAGCAATAGGTACTTAAGAAATGCTTTTGGGGAATAATAGCAAAGTATTGTTTTTAAAACAGCTTTATTTAGGTGTAATTTACAGATTATACCAGTTTTAAGTGTATAATTCAATGTTTTGTAGTACATTTACAGACTTATGCAACCCTTGTCACAATTCAGTTTTGGAACAATTTCCTTCAACCCAAAAAGATCTTTCAAGCCCACTGGCAGTCAATCCCCATCCAACTCTCAGGCCCAATCACTAATATGTTTTCATCTCTATTGATTTGCCTATTTTTGGCATTTCATATAAGTGAAATTATATACCATGAAGTCTAATGTATTCGATTTATTTTACTTAGCAGAATAAGTTCCTTCGTGTTGTATGTGTATCAGTAGTTTGTTCCTTTTTATTGCTGAATGGTATTCTATTGTATGGACATATCACATTTTATTTATCCATTGATGAACATTTGGATTGTTTCTGCTTCTTGATTATGAATAATGCTGCTATGAACATTTCCATACAAGTCTTTGAGTGGACACTGGTTTTATTTTCCCTTGTGTAGAGATAGAGAAATGGAATTGCTCAATTATATGGTAAATCTATGTTAAACTTTATAAGAAATAGCCAAACCATTTTCCAAAGTAGTTGTACTATTTTACATTCCCACAAGCCGTGTATGAAAGTTCAGTTTATACACAGTCTTGTCAATGCTTGTTATTAGCTATCTTTTTGATTATAGACAGTCAAGTGGGTGTTTAGTGTTATTGTGGTTTTAATTTGTATTTCCCTAATGACTAATGAAGCTGAACATCTTTTCATGGGTTGATTAACCATTCATGTATCGTCTTTGGTGAAACACCTATTCAAATCTTGTGTCTATTTAAAAAAATAAACTTATTTTAGAAGAGTTTTAGACTTACAGAAAAATTGCCAAGATAGTATGGGGAACTGTCATATATCCCACATCCAATTTCCCTTATTAGCATCTAACATTAGTATATTACATTTGTTACCATTAATGAACCAATGTTGATATGTTATTATTAACTGAAGTCCATACTTTTTTCAGATCTCCTTAGTTTTTAACCTAATGTTTTTGTTTTTTTTTTTCCTCCTTCGGAATTTCCTCCAGGATACTATATTGCATTTAGTAGCCAAATCTCCTTAAGCTACTCTTGGCTGTGACAGTTTTTCACACTTTCCTTATTTTTGATGGCCATAAAGAGCTTCAAGGAGTTCTGATCAGGTATTTTATGGAATGTCACTCAACTGGGATTTTCCTGCGTTTTTCTCATGATTATACTCACCGTGATTTATCTTGATGGTGAACTTGATCACCTAGATAAGGCGGTGTTTGTCAGGTTTCTCCACTGTGAAGTTACTCTTTTCTCCCCCTTTCCGTACTGTACTCTTTGGGAGAAAGTCAATATGTGCAGTCCTTAGTGAATGAGTGAGGAGTTATGCTCCAGTTTCTTGAGGGTAGACTACCTACGTACATTACGTGGATTTCTTCTGAATGGCAGATTTGTCTATGCTCCCTTATTTACTTATTTATTTAGTCATTTATTTATATAAGTATGGGCCCATGGATATTTATTATACAATTTGGATTTTAATTTAATACCACTTTATTTCTTTGTTTTCTTGCTCCAGCTTTGAGTACTGTGAACTCTTTTAGTCGGCTCTCGTGTCCCTCTGACATAACCCCATGATTATTGTAGCACTTCACTTGTAGCACTGCAGGATTCTCCAGGCTCATATTGTTTATTTCCTGTCCCAGTGCTATAATCAACAATTTTCCCAAGGAGTCCTGGTTCCCTTTATTGGAGAATGGTATTAGAAACCAAGATCTGGGAGCTAGGTGTACTCATTGCTGCTGGAGATCACTGCCCGTAAGCCCTCCCAGCTGACACAGCAAATAAACAAATATTTGTATATTAACCCTTATAGACACACATTCCTATAAAATTTCTATATCCAATCACCTATATTAAGCTAAACATAAGTTCAACTTATGTCTCCAACTCTGTTACTACATGTTCATTCTAGCCTCTTTCCCTTGTTTAGCTCTGCCCTCCAATAGTGAGAAAACTGGTTTCCAACATCTGCCATCCATTTACTTCATTATTCAATTCCAGTATATGTGTATTGTGGTATTAGAATGGTTAACTTTACCCCCAAACCACTTTTTATATTGGCTCCTTTTCCCCTAATTCTCTTCAGTGAGTTTGTGTCACACACTTGCAACAGGGTTTGATTGTTCTTTCACATTCTGAATGGCATCCTGGGATTACCAGAATTCCAAAGTGATTTTTTTCTAAATTTGTATATGTTAAGGCTCATTCTTTGTGTTGTCAAGTTCTATGGGCTTTGACAAATATATAGTGTCATGTGTTCACCATTATAGTATACAGAACTTTTACCATCCTAAAAAATCTTGTGTTTCACTTTCCTTTCTTTCCACTAAACCCTTAGGCAACAAATATTTTTTACCATTTCCATAGTTTCGCCTTTTCCAGAATGTCATATAATTGGAATCTATAATATGTTGCCTTTCCAGACTGACTTCTTTCACTTAGCAATATACCTTTGAAATTCACTCATGTCTTTTTGTGGTTTGAGAGCTCATTTCTTTTTATCTCTGAATAGTATTCCATTGTATCAATGTACTACTACAGTGTGTTTATTCATTTGCTTTACTGAAGGAATCTTGGTTGCTTCCAGTTTTTGGTGCTTATGAATAAAGTTGCTATAATCATTCCTGTGCAGGTTTTTATGTGGGCGTAAGTTTTCAAATCAGTTAGGTAGGAGCATGGTTACTGGCTCAAATGGGAAGACTATGTTTAGCTTTGTAGGAAACTGCTAAACTGTCTTCCAAAGTAGCTGTGCTATTTTCATTTCCCATCAGCAATGAATGAGAGTTCCTATTGCTCTGTATTCTTGTCAGTAATTGCTATTATCAGTTCTTTGGATTCTGGTCATTTTAATAGGGATGTTGTGGTATCTCATTATTGTTTCCCCTAATGACAATTGATATTGAGCACCTTTTCATATGCTTTTGTAAGGTATTTATTTTTTCCTTTTATTTTTTAGTTGACATGTGATAATTGTACATATTTATGGGATACAGAGTGATAGTTCCGTATGAACATATAATGTATAATGATCAAATTGGAGAAAATACATTCATCACCTCAAACATTGTCCTTTGTGTTGTGAATATTCAAAATCTTCTCCTCTAGCATTTTGAAAACATTCAATAAATTATAGTAAACCATATTCAGCCTACACTGCTGCAAAACACCGGAACTCATTCCTCCTATGTAGTAATAATTTTGTATTAATTAACTAAACTCTCCCATTCTCCCCTCTTGTCCCCTTCCTGGCCTCTAATACCCATAATTCTACTCTCTACTTCTACGAGTTTGAAATTTTTTTTCTCAGTTTTCACACGAGTGAGAACATGCAGTAGTTCTCTTTCTTTGCCTAACTTATTTTGCTTAACATGAGGCCTTCCAGGCTCTCCCATGTTGCCACTTTTTGCAGCACTATTCACAGGAGCTAATAAGCCAAATGTCCATCAACAGAAGAACGGATAGACAAAATGTGGTATACATGTACAATAAAATGCCATTCAGCCATAACAAGGTATCTGTTTCTTCATTTATTTACTTAATTTATTTTTTTGAGAGAGGGTCTCACTTTGTCACCCAGGCTAGAGTGCAGTGGTGCGATCACAGCTTACAGAAGCCTTGAACTCCTGGGCTTAAGTATCCCCCTCCCCCAGCCTCCTGAGTAGCTGGGACTACAGGTACATGCCACCATATCTGGCTAACTTTTTATTTTTATTTATTTTTTTTTGTAAGAAGGGGTCTCATTATTTGGCCCAGGCTGGTCTTGAACTCCTAACCTCAAGCAATACTCCTGTGTTGCCCTTCCAAAGTGCTAGGATTATAAGCATGAGCCACAACATTGGGCCAGCATCTGTTTATTTTTATTTTTATTTTTTGGGACAGAGTCTCGCTCTGTCACCCAGGCTGGAGTGCAGTGGCACGATCTTGGCTCACTGTAACCTCTGCCTCCTGGGTTCAAGCGATTCTCCTGTGTCACCCTCCTGAGTAGCTGAGATAACAGGTGCACCACCATGCCCAGCTAATTTTTGTATTTTTGTAGAGATGGAGTCTTACCCTGTTGGCCAGGCTGGTCTCAAACTCCTGGCCTCAAGTGATCCACCCACCTAGGGCTCCAAAACTTCTGGGATTACAGGTGTGAGCCACTGCACCTCGCCTGTTTATTTTTAATTGGGTTGTATGTCCTTAGGATTTTCCACAAACAGGATCATGTGGAATGTGAATAAGGATGGGTTTGCTCCCTTTGTTTTTTCCAATCTGGATGCCCCTTCCCCACTTTTTCTTATTTAATTGCACTAGCTAGACCTATAGTATAGTGTTGAATAGAAATTGTAAGGCAAAACATTTTTTTTTCTTTTTTTAACAGTGAGGTTTTTTTTGTTTTTTCTTTTTTTATACTTTAAGTTCTAGGCTACATGTGCACAATGTGCAGGTTTGCTACATATGTATACATGTGCTGTGTTGGTGTGCTGCACCCATTAACTTGTCATTTACATTAGGTATATCTCCTAAT